CATTTACACCCACATTCACACTCGCAAGCATTTTCCTTCATTCTCTCCCGCTCTCTCTCTCTCTCTCTCTCTCTCTCTCTCTCTCTCTTTCTCCTTTACAGTACATATATTACAGAAACGCACTCATATGAACGTAACAATGCGGCTACTGTAACCACACGCTGCACAGTGGGTCACACTGCTAATATGAGTAAGCAAATTATGCTATATCGAGATATATAAATATATATAATTTACTCATAGACATGACGTAGAATGATTTGAATTTGACTAAGAGAGAGAGAGAGAGAGAGAGAGAGAGAGAGAGAGACATTTTTAATTGGAGACTTTCAATGTTAAGCTTAGCTAGTCTAAGCTAAAGTAGATAGCTATATCAATTCTGAGCCAATTCAAAAATATTTATTTATATGTATTTTCATATTATACATATTTTCCAGTTGCCCGACCTTTTGAGGTGAGCTAATACATTTAGATGAAATCTATTATCGTTTTTAATTAGTTTTTATTTTTTTCATTAGCTTGCTTCACTGTGCGTGAATTGCATTTCACACCTGCTCCAAAAAGGGCAAAAGACCAGCAGGTGCCACAGTGGCACACACAACTATGGCAAACGAAGGCGCAGAATGCAATACACACACAGTGTTTATTTGGACTGTGCATGTGTGTGTGTGTGTGCATATACACATATGCAAATGTAGGTGTGTAAACATATATGGTGTTAACTATGAACACCGAACTTTATGCTGACAAGGACTGCAGTTCACGCCAACTACGTGCACACACACACACCCACACACATACATCTATATATGTATGCAGTTGGTTGCTCGCAATTGCAAAGCGCAAACTTTGCGAATCTTAACGATTTGCTTATTGTTCTTTCTCCATTGGCATTTACTGAGTATTTTTTAAGTTTGCCATTACGTGGGGCACACTGTCTGTGGCTCAGCGGCAACGGCAGCGGCAGCGGCAGCGGCTGTGTGGCACGACCCTGACCGCAGCGACGAAACCGCCTTTGCCACGCATCCGTGAGTCTCGAGCCATTTCGCACACACACACACACGCACATGCATACATATGTGCAGTGTCTAACGGAGCACCGTTTCTACTTTAATTGTTTCTCATGTTGCACTCACACACACACACAGACACACGCATAGAGCGCACACACTCAAATCAGCCTTCAATTAAAAAGTCTTGAAATAGCTGCATTAAGAGCTATTAAAGTTATGTTTAACGGTAAAGTTATCGGAATTATCAGGAGCTATACGGTTAAATACGTAAGGTCACTGAGTTAATGATTCTTTCAGATCTTGCGTCTATTCTGATTATTATTAAATTTAGCAAATTGATTCATTTATATATAA